GGGGCACAGGCTGGAGGCTGCCCACAGCAGCAGCGGGAGACTGTGCCCAAAGCTGCCCCCCACACCTGGCTCAGAACGTTCTCCAGGCTCGGCCGGTTCCCCGCCCCTAGCACATCCTGCAGCACCTCCAGGCCGTGGCTGTGGGGCTGGGGCGGGGGCCTTCCCTGTGGTGTCCGGTGCCCAGGCTGGGAGTGGGGGCGGACAATGGGCCCTCTCAGCCTGCATTCCCCCACGGGAGCCTCCTCAGGCCTCCGGCTGGGGCTCCTGCCCCACCCGCTGGGAGCAGCTGCCGCCACGTCCGACACCTGCTCCCAGCTGCCCTTTGTCCGAGCACCGACGCCTGATTTATGGGGCGTGTTTTCCTCTTGCTGGCCCGGCGTGATACAGCCTCGTTAACTGGGATGCGTTTGGTTGGGCAGATTCTCCCACAGTCCTCCACGTTGGGTGGGGAGTGGGGCTTGGTGTCCGGGCAGAGCGTCGTGGTCTATTTGGGGACAACCTATGTCCGGTGACCTCAGGGCACTTGGCGGGAGACTGCTCTAGGGGCTTGGACCACCACTGTGTCCCCCTGGGGTCACCCCCTGGGCAGCTCATGTGGAGTCCCCTAAAGCTGTGGGGTGGGCCTCCCCTGCCCCTCTCCCCGTCTTGCCCAGCAGGTGAGCTTTTCCCGCTCCTTGGAGCCTTGAGGGCCCGGGAGGCAGGGGACCGGCTTGCATGGGCCAGGCTGAGGAAGCTCCAGCCCCTGCTTTGATGGCCCAGCGCCCTGTGTCCTGCACCCACCCCCTGCCGACTTCGTCAGTGGCTGGGAAAGAAAAAAGGGCCTTTTCTCCAAGCGGGAGCCGTGGCCAACTCCTGCCTGACAATGGAGCATTTATGTGGAGGGAGGGCTCCTCCTGAGGCCACAGCCCAGCCCAGCCTGTGGGCTCCACGGGTTCCCAGCGGCAGCTCTGCCTCGGGGACCAGCCAGCCTGTAACTGGATCTGAGTGCAGTGGGAACCACGCCTGCCCTCCCCACAGGTGCCCGGAGAGGCAGGTCTGTCGCTGCAGCCCCGGAGTGACCGGCCACACAGGATGGGGGAGGGGGAGCTTCATTCCAGGGCTGTGCCCGTCACTCACTGGGCTGGTGGGAGCCGGAGCAAGGGCCGAGTGAACTCCCCAGAGCCCCTTCGGAGGGGGTGACACGTGTTTTCTTTTTAAGCCAGTTGGTTTGGGACTTTTAGCTTCTGGCAACAGATGGTCGGCCAGAGTGGCCCTTTTGCGTTCTCTCTGCCCAAGCCGTGGCCACGGGTAAAAGCCTTCAGGGAAGACAGATGTCTCCCGGGCCTTTGGGACAGGGGCGTGGCTGGCTGCTGAGAAACGCACAGGAACCGCGCCCCCAGCCTCCACAAGCCCCTCAGGGTAAGGCCCCCCCCCAGGCCACTGTCACACATATCACAGGTTTGATTGGAGACACTGGAGTGGGAATAAGCGGGAGAGAGGAAGCAAGGACTTGGGGGGCCGGTGGGGGTCCCGTGTGAAGCTGGCAGCTTCAGGGCCGGTCCTGGGGCAGGTGGCCGCCGCAGCCTCCCACCCAGGTAGGCTCTGGAAGGCAGGACGGTTCCCCCTGTACATCCCATCTAGAGGAGGCCACGCCCACCCAGGGCCTGAGCTGTGGGGCCGCTGCCTTCCCAGGCCGCTGGGGCTGCTGGGGGCTGGTGGCATGTTCTGCTTCAGAGGCTTCATTACTGGGAAGAGCGGCGCCCGGCGGGTCCCAGACCTTCCCCCGAAGCGTAAGGCCAGGAGGTGACTGGAGCCAGAGATTTATGACCACAGCAGGTGGCTGGGGGGGCAGGCTCTGCGCCCGTCACCACAGGGAACAGGTGAGACCAGGCCTGGGCGGAGATGCAGGACCGCTCCCCTGGCTCCCCTTGTTCTGTCTGAGCCTGGACTGTGTGTCCAGGGTGAGGAGCGGCCTTTCGCCCACCCTGATGGGGCTGCAGAGACCTGGCAGAGGGGCGTCCTCCTGGCACCTTGGTTTCCCCGGCTGTGATGTGGGTGCTTCTGCTCCCGGCTGATGTGCCTGGATATGTGTTACGAAGACTCAATGTGGAAAGAGAAACGTGTCCAGGGGCTGAGCATGAGCAGGGAATGGGCCGACCTGCATCCCCAGTGTGGTCTCGGCGTTAGGTGTCCCATCAGAAAGGCTTCTTGGCCGGGTGCGGTGGCTCATGCCTGTAATCGCAGCACTTTGGGAGGCCGAGGCGGACGCATCATAAGGTCAAGACATCAAGAGCATCCTGACCAGCATGGAGAAACCTCGTCTCTACTAAAAATACAAAAATTAACTGGGCGTGGCCGGGCGCGGTGGCTCAAGCCTGTAATCCCAGCACTTCGGGAGGCCGAGACGGGCGGATCACGAGGTCAGGAGATCGAGACCATCCTGGCTAACCCGGTGAAACCCCGTCTC